CCTTTTTATCTTGTGTTTTTGTGTTTTGGCGTACTTTCTCATTTCTTTTGGTGATATTTAGGTCCATTATGCAAAGAGTTATGGAACACAAACCACTATGCGGACCACTATCCGAGCCATTGTCGAGCCATCCAAGTTCTCCTAGATAGATAGTCATGACTCCAGTATTGCTGCACTCGCCGCGATTCCATGTCCGCGAGCCAGCGAGACATCATGTGGGGCACTCGCCGAGAGACCCGTTCCGCGAGCCTGCCTGACCTTCGAGCAGCATAGCCCATTTGTCACAGAGAGTCCTGTTTTGCGAGATAGCCTGCAACACCCATCCACGAGACCATACAACAATCGAGCACTCGCCGCGAGAGCCCTCCCGCGAGGCAGCGAGGCAACGTAGCGAGACCTAGCACACCCCGCGAACTGCCGTCCACGAGGTCGCGAGTCCGAGCAGCAAGACACGAGGTTGCGATTCCGAGCAGCAAGAGGCCTGCGAGACCTGACACCCTCCGCAAACTGCCGTCTACGAGGTCATGAGTTCGAGCTGTGAGAGACTTGCGAAAGACTTATGCATTCGTTGCGAAATGTGTTTAGCGAGGTCGTGAGTTCCTATTTGTAATTGTGTGTGAAATCACTATAAATACACTTTGTGTTGGAGCGAGAAGGGGGTTCCCGACTTCATTTTATCCCTTTTCCTTTTTGAGAATTAGCTATTTTCATTTTTCATTTAAGTTTTGCGTTTGGGAGATGAAAGGCTAGAACTTTTCTCGGCGATGCCCTTTCTTTATTAAAGTTCTGACCTTCTCGCATGAATTTCATCTGGGCTCGCAAAAGAAGAGAACGTACCTTGCTTATTACTTCGATTTTTAGTCCTTCTTGCTTATGATGTTACTCAAGGTAAAGTTGATGTCTTGGCTGGAATCATGTGTGTAGGCTCGGTTTTAAAGTTTTTTCTACAGTTAGAAACTCATTTGTTCTACATTTAATTTTGTTCCTGCAATCTATATATATATATATATATATATATATAAATGTTTGATTATTTTTTAAATAGTAACTGTTTCCCGCAAAAAAAAATCCTATTTACTAATTTTAGAAATATATTATTTAATTTATGGTATTGTGTTGACAAATTAAATGTTATCTTATTTGGTATATTGTGGGCGACTTATATGGTATTGTTTTTATGGTGTATTACTGATATTGAGTGACTCTTCTTTTTCATAAAGATTGAGAGATTGGGTCCAATTTTATTTGGTATGAATGATAAATTATTTTTGGTATGTGAGGAACATTTTTTTATTATTTTTTTTGTTAGTAAATGCACTGACCGATTTCTTGGGCATATGCGCCGAGATTTTTCCCTTTTTTTTTTTGTTTTCGGTGTAAAACATGAGTGTGGATTTGTCTGACATCTATATTTTGAATCAAAATATCACATTTTTTTATGTAACCTTTTGACTTTATATTTTTTGTATGACAAATCTAAAAAATAGTATGAACTAGTACAACGTCCGTATATTACATGGGTGCTTGCTAATTTTTTTTCTTAAAATCTAAAACTAATGAAAAAAAGTAGTTGAAAATTTAAATACCATATATAAAAATATATATATTATTATATATTTAGTATGACACATTATTATATATTTAGTATTACACTTTTTATTTGTGCAACTTACCTGTGTTATATTATAATAATTTTTTAACCAACAACATATAATTACATTAAACATAAATATATAAAATTGAGAAATAATTTTTTTTTTTCTAATGAATTTTAATATATATTATTTTTATTATTATAAAGATAAATATAAATTACTGCCTCCATTTTGAAATATAAGGCGTTTAAGGTTTTTGCACAAATATTAAGGAGACATTAATTAATAAGTAAATTGATTAAACTAACCTTATTTATTGAAAATCACTATGCATTTATTGTTATGGTTGCAACTATAAATGAGGGTATATATGGCAGAAAATAGAATAATTTGCATTGGTTTTGATGTGCGCCTTATATTTCAAAAAATTTGAGAATTCCTTATATGCCTTATATTTCAAGATAGAGGGAGTATTTATTTCATATATACAATATGGATGTCAAATCTAAGATTATCAAAAGATGATTAATTTGATATTTTATATATGTAAAACCGATAAGAAATACAAAAGTTGTCAACTTTTAAAATACATTTATAATTCAATAGTCAATTGAAGGAAACAAATCAAAAGTCAACAATATATTAGCCACTTAGTGCCTCACTATGTAAAATTACGAAGAAATAAAGAGTTATATTAGTATAAGTGATATTAAAATACCTAAATTGGCTAAATAATATTTATGGAATGTCCAAACCTAAATTATTAATTATTAATATATCAATATTATTGTCCAAACCTAATTACGAAGCATGATTCTTTTGCCAAGTAGGATTCGGAAGCATCAGAAGCAGCATGTAGCCTCAGCGCATTCGGGACTAATATATAGGGAGGATGTTCATTTTAATTGAATGTTATGGCCGAATTATATTGGGTATGAATGATAAATATTTTCTTTGTATATGATAAAGATTTTTTTTTTTTCTAAGTAAATGTGTTGTCTGATATTTTATTTTTTATTTGGTTTAATACTAATAATAATATAAGATGATCTTATACATAATATCCATAAAAAAAATCCAACGAGATGTTAAAAATGGCATTGTGTATCTCATATAATTATTCTTTAATTAACCAAAACGCCCAATTCGATAAACACATAGTTAAAATAAAATTCCAAACAAATCTCAAACAAAGATATCAAATAATGACTTTACAATTCATTAATTGGTCATACCCGTGTATTCGATTATCATATTTATAAACACATATATTTACATAAAATTTTTCTTGTGTACATTTAATTTTCATATAACATTTTCGACAATTTAATATCGGTAGATTGTAGTATATATTAATTACATATTTTTAATTTATAAATATTATTTGATGAGTATTTTTAATTTATAAATATTAATGAATATTTCTTACCCGTGCATCGCACGAGATTTGTACTAGTATATATAAAAATGTTTAAATATTTTTTAAATAGTACCTATTTCCCGCAAAAAAAAAATGTTATTTACTAATTCTAGAAACTTTTAAACATTTTATGTTATGTTTTAAAAAAACAATTTAGGTAATTGGGATGATTAATTAAAGTAATAAATCACATAAAATTTTATTTTATATCTCAAGATATTTTATCATATAGTTGTACATATATATCATATATTTGTACCTAAAATATTAAAATCTATCATATTCCTAACAAACATCAGATTTACTTATATATTTCTAATTAATCACATCAATAAATAATATTAACATACATTAAATATTTACTATTATATAAAAATAAAATATTACTTCTATAAATGGTATAAATAATATTGACATTATACGACAATAAGTTTTTTAAAAAAGTAATAATTGAGTATTATGATGAACTAAAATATGTAACATTCTTATTTTTTTGTATTAAAAAATAAATATATATTTTAAAATATTATTATATTAATATAGACAGATCAACGAGCTAATACATTGTTAAAATAAAGTTTTCCAAAAATATTTTACATTACGAAATCATACATCGCATGGGATTCTCACTAGTAATATATTAAATAAATTGATTGATCTTTATATCTTACTAAACTCAATTGTCCAAAAACATTATCACCATATATATATTGCACGTACGCATATGAGGAGTGAGGCAGAAAGATCATAGGAATAAGGGCATCCTCAATGGTAATAGTTATTACTAGCTATATGGTCAGCTGACGTGGATGTGAGAGATAAGAAAAATAACTATTTTACACTATTGGACCTACGTACTCCTCTCAAATGATCTTGAACTACGTAAAATAGATAAACTATTTGTTGGTCGCTAGTGACTACTCTCTCTCCTATTTTTCCCCTGTACACGTTATAATAGTTAGCCAAACAGCCAACCATTGGGGACGCCTAAGAACTTTGGGAACATCGGGACAACAAATGCTTACCTCGTGACATATAATGAAACTTGTGTTATTTGAACGCATCATGTTGTGTGTACGTATTGTAGTTATTCATTCTACATTTTTCATACGTATAGAACTCGGCCTAATCTATAATCACTCTGGATAATAACTTTCTAAGAAAAGAAAACAAGATTGGAAAAATAGTTCAACCTTGATTATTCATAATAGCAAAAAGGATAGTAGATATAACTTATAACTGATTATAATCTGATCTATAAGTTTACCTACTATATATGATGAAATTAGAAACAAGGAAAGTCTTTATAGATGACTCTGAACTTGTTAATAGATTTATCAAATGTCATTAGGAATTATCGGTTTTGCTATGAAGACAACAGTTGGCTTTAAAGTGGAGTCAATCTTCTATATATAACAAATAAACCTACTATATATATTAACAAAGTTATATTAGTGTTATTTAAGTAATAGAAGAATATAGTAGATTTACTTGTTGTATATATAAGGTTGGCTCCACTATGGAGCCAACTGTTGGCTTCATAGCAAAACCGTTGGAATTATATGCTGAAATTAAAAGTTTGACAGTTCCTTATAATCTTGGGCTTATTATTTGTTATCCAAAAATTCCTTGTTCATTTTTTATATAATATATTTTACAAATATATAAATCTGTGAAAAATGAAAATTATTGTAATAGTTAAAGTTGAGCTTAAGATCTAAAGACATTTATATATATGTGTCTTGAGGCGAGGAGAAGCCACATTTCCATGAGTGAAAGCAAAATATGATCTCGCTGCCTTAAAAAAGCTCAAGCCATTTGCTTAGAAGCAACCCCTACCCAACCCCCACCACCCCACAACTATATAAACCAAACAAATCTCAATGCAATAATCTATCCCAAATAAAAAAGAAAACCCTAAAAACAATACACACATTCTTCACATTGACAATTGTTGAAAACCTCAAAACACCAAATTTCAAAAAATGTCCTCCAAGTCTACCACCCGAACCCAGTCGACCCTAACTGGCATCGGCAACCTCATCAGGCTCCTCCCAACTGGCACAGTCTTCTTGTTCCAATTCCTCAATCCTCTCCTCACCAACAACGGCCACTGCCACGTCATCAACAAGTACTTATCAGCCATACTAATCACTATCTGCGCTTTCTCGTGCTGCTTTGCCTCGTTCACCGACAGCTATACCGACGATCAAGGGAACCCGCACTATGGCATAGCCACAAAAAACGGACTTTGGCCCAAAACCTCTTCTGGGCCGGACCTGTCGGCCTACAAGCTCAGATTTGGGGATTTTGTGCACGCGTTTTTCTCATTGGTTGTTTTTGGGGTCGTGGCCCTTTTGGACCCGAACTCGGTTGAGTGCTTTTACCCGTCGTTTGAGTCCACACAGAAGGTTTTGCTCATGGTTTTGCCCCCAGTATTAGGGACGGTTTCAAGCTCCATCTTTGTTATGTTCCCCAATAACCGTCATGGAATAGGGTACCCTTTTACCCAAAGCTCCACTACTCCTGGTTCGGTGTCAACTTAATAGAATGCAGGGGTGTGCGGATTGTGCAAATTAGAAAATATAATTAAGTTATTTATTTATTTATTTATTTTTGAAGACTCTTGTGTAAAATGTATCCTTCAGTGTTTGAAGACTTTGTTTCTAATTATTATGTGGTTCAAGAACGTATACTAAGGACGAAAAGCATAATGGAATTTTAATGACTTTGTTTCTAATTCTTATGTGGTTCAAGAACGTATACTGAGGACGTAAAGCATAATGGAATTTTAATGGGTTGATAAAATGGTATGTAACACCCCGCTGACTTATTAATATCAGAGTCAATTTTTCGCAAAATCTTTTCAAATAAAAACTTATTAATTTTTGAAATCTTTACTCGGGATGCTACCAAAAATTTTTTAATCTGAAAACTCGTTTTTCATTAACTAGGTCTAACTGATAATTTAGACATAAAGAAAAACATATTATATTTTAATCAAACTAGCATGTGAAGTCACTGGTTAACGGTTGTTAGATTTTTCTCTCCTCGCTTGAGAGTTCTTTTCCTCGCTGAGATCTTCTCTCCTTGATCGAGAGCTCCTTCTCTTCGGAGTCCCCTTCTCCCAGCTGGGAGTTTCCTAATACTTCTGCTCTCAAGATGTCCAGCGATACCCCTTTTTCGATGGACGAGGAATTAGGACAAAAGTTGGGTAAATTCTCTATTTCTGAAATTGAGGACGCGGTTGTCGATATTGAAACTACAGGACATAAAATTTAGCTTAGCTGAATGTCAAAGAAGCCTGTTTGGCAAGATTATAGGAGATCGCAAGGCTAACTGGGTGGGTATTAAGCACACGATGAGTTACCTGTGGAAGGTAGGCAACACCATGGAAGTCAGGGAATTGGGACACAACTACTTTCAATTTCTCTTTGAGAGGAGGGAGGATCTGCTCAAAGTATTAGAAGGCAAAAGCTGGATTTTCGAGAATCAACATCTGATCGTTCGTGAATGGACAGAAGGTATTTCTCAGTCTCATCCTATCTTTGATGAAGTCACACTCTAGTGCAAGTGTGAACGCCCTGGTCCGGTTCAGAATAGATCGATTCTCGTCCTCGCCGATAGAACGTCAGAAACCTGCAAGTAACTCTCACACCGGGGGTTGTGTTCGTTGAAGAGCCTCCGATGCTTAAGTCAGTATGTGTATGAGTATACTGAAGTGAGTAATGGAAAAATCGTGTTGAAGAAGAAGGGCTCACCCCCTTTATATAGGGGTGAGATACCTGACCTAGGGCTGCCCGGATTTTGGTGAGCTGTCTGCCCTAACTGCCCGTCCGTACACACAATACGCGTGTGTCAGAGGTAGACGTCACCACTATCGCCTGCACCAATACTCTTTGGACGCGTGTCCTCCTGCACATGGGGTAGGCTGTTAGAGGTGGTTATTGCTATCAACCACATCGTTCTCGACACGTGTCCCCTTGCACATGGGATAAATATTCTCCTGAAATTCGGTTAGAGGCTCTCTCACGCGCTTGTGGCTAGGCCGATCAGTGTAGTGTTAAGTCCTCGAAGTGGTCGACCTGTTGAAGTCGACTAAATTGCTCGACTGAACTGCTCGACCGTTCATCCGGTCGAGTTATATATTGGTCGTTTGTTTATCTGTTCGACTGAATAACTGCTCGATTCCCTCAACTTCCCCACAGTATGACCTCCTCGACCGGCCAGCAGACCGGTTTAGCCTTGTGGGTATAATATCCTATATCACACTCTGGGTTCAAGCTCATGGTATCCCAGTACATTGGATTAGTACCGAGGTGGGAATGAAACTGGGTAGAGTGTTTAAGAGTGTGAAATATGTGAATCTAGCTAAGGCAGGAGGTCTAGGTGGAAGAATCATTCGGCTTCAAGTGGATATTGATATCAAACAACCACTGTCCAGATGGACTAAAGTCAGATTGGGGAATCAAGTTGTTACCATTCAATTTCAATATGAGAAACTAGTTAGTTTTTGTTACTACTGTGGGAAGTTGGGACACACTGACAGAAACTGCAATAAAAAGATTGCTGACCTTGCCAACAATGTTACTCATGAGAATCAATATGGGGAATGGATGAAGGCTCTTGATAGTACCATTATTTCCAACTCCCCATCCAACAGCAATCAATCTCAATCTAATGAGGAAAGCTTCAACACTCATGGAATATCCACAAAAGGAAGACAGTGTCACCCCCCTCTATACCAGGACACAAACCCAAGCTCCTCCCCCTATTATAAAAATAGGGAAATCGACCAATATCTCTAATCTAGGAGCTGAGGAATCTTCATCATCCCTCCATATCTCTACTCCAACATCAAAAGGAAAAGAAATTATGACTATGCTAAATACTATTCCTGAGAGTAATTCATGCACCAAGCCATATCCAGTAAGCTTCAAAGCTCCCATGGAGACTAACTTGACAATACAGGGAGAAAATATCCAAGTCCCCAAGGCTATGATTTCCAAACCTGCCACTGGGAAAACCTGGAAGAGAGCTGCAACTAAAGTAGGCAGGTCAGCAAAGAAATCAGAAGTAGGCACAGGAGTTGAAGAAACAAAAAGCCTTAAGAGAGTCAAAGAGGGATGCACCCCCTCAGACAACAAAGCCATCATTCTAGCAACAACAGGACACAAAAAGCAGAAGCTCTCAGAGTCCAAGGTGGAGAAAGCCAGCCACAATTAGCCCCAACCCCCCCAATAAAGGCCATGGTGTGGAACTGTCGAGGTCTGGGTGGACCCTCGATAGTCTCCCAGATAAGAGAGGTTATTCAGTCTCACCACCCAAACTTTATTTTTCTATCTGAAGTTAAAAAACCAAAAGATTTTGCTATGGAGATTTGCAGGAAGTTAGGCTTTCAAGACAGAGCCTGTTTTGTGGATCCCCTTGGCTCCAAAGGGGGATTATTGATGATGTGGGATATTGAACCAAAGATTTTGAAGATTAACAGTTCTGAATTTTTCATCCAAGTGCAATACTCTATGCCTGACAGTGAAGATATCTACTGGATCTACTTTGTATACATGAATACTGATAAAGCTACTAAAATTAGTCAATGGAACCAATTTGTGTTGGACAAGGAAGAATGGGGAGATGTATGGACCATTATGGGTGATTGGAATGACATTCTCCACAAAGATGATAAAAGGGGAGGCAGAAGCAGACCAGAATCCAGTTATCTAGCCTTTCAAAGCTTCATCTCCTCTATGGGCATGGATGAGATCCCAATGATAGGGTACCATTATACTTTGGGCAATAACAGGTCTTTGGAAGGCTATGTGGAGGAGAAATTGGACCGAGGATTTGGCTCTTTAAACTGGATCAGCAAATTTCCTCAGGCTCAAATATCAAACCTTTACAGGACTGCTTTTGACCATGGTGCCCTTCTCTCGGATGATTAAGCTCACACTCAAAAAAAAGCTAGAAGATTTATTTTTTATAAGAGATGGTTTAGCAGGAAAGGGTGCAAAGAGGTGGTTTCTGAGGCATGGGCAATAGCACAAAGAGCTACTCCATTCTATAAGTTGAAAGAGCAAATAAAAAAATACAAGAATTGCACTCTCCAAATGGAGTAAAATGTTCAGAGCAGATCACAAGGTGAAGGTTCAACAACTCACTCTGAAGTTTGAAGAAATGAGATTATTAAAAAAAGAGCTTGAGCAGGCTCAAACTTCTGAAGAATTGTATTGGCAACAAAAATCTCGGGTTCTGTGGCTCAAGGAAGGGGACCAAAACTCTAGTTTCTTCCATGCATACACCATGCAAAGAAGGAAAAGGAATGCAATCTCCAGACTTATTGATGACCAGAACAGACTCTGTGAATCTCAAGAAGACATTCACAAGGAGATTTTTTCATACTACCAGCAACTCTTTTCTTTAGAAGGATCCCAAGGCTCCACTGATATTACTGAGCTCATTCTGAGAACTATTACAAGTGAGTTGAATGAATCACTAACCAGACCCATATCAGAAGAAGGTATTCAGAGAGCTCTCTTTCAACTAAATCCTTTAAAAGCTCCTGAAGAGGACGACATGACTGCTCTTTTCTACCAGCATTTCTGGCCTACTATCAAAGAAGATTTCTCTAATGCAGTTCTCAGCTTCTTCTCCTCAGGTCAAATGTTAAAATACTAGAACCACACCCGTGACTCTGATTCCTAAGTGTCTGAATCCCATATCCATCACCCAATTCAGGCCAATCAGCCTATGTGGGGTGGTTTACAAAGTCATCTCAAAGATTTTAGCTGCTAGACTTAAGGAGTGTCTCAACAGTTGCATCAACCTTTCCTAAGGGGTCTTCTTACCTGGCAGGAATATCCTTGACAACATCATCATTGCCCAGGAAGCCTTCCACTACCTCAACAGACACAGGTCAGGCCCCCATTGTTTTATGGCTCTGAAATTAGACATGCTTAAAGCATTTGATAGAGTGGAATGGAGCTATATTAGAGATATCATGACTAATATGGGATTTGATCTGATCTTCATTAAATGGATCTTTGCTTGTGTTTCATCCCCATCATTCTCTTTTCTGGTCAATGGGGAAGCTGTTGGTTATATCAAGCCCTCAAGAGGACTGAGACAGGGAGATCCCCTGTTTCCATACTTATTTTTATTGTCTCTGAGGCTTTCTCTGCCCTAATCCACTCAGCTCTCTCAGAAGGATCCTTCAAAGGAATAAGGATTGCTAGAGGAGGCCCCACACTGTCACATCTACTCGTTGCGGATGACTCTTTAGTCTTTTGCAAGGCTGAAGTCAAACTAGCTCAACAGCTGAAGGAAATTATGGAGAAATACCAACTTTTCTCTGGTCAGAAAGTCAACATATCGACATCCTATGTATTTTTCAGTAGGAATATCGAACCTCTGCTCTCACCAAAGCCAACATATGCCAAACTCTAGAAGGGATTAAATCTCACACATCAACCAGATATTTGGGTCTCCCTCTAGGGATTGGCAGAAGCAAAAAAGAAGAGTTTGACTATGTGCTTCAAATAGTCAGGAA